CCCAATTAGGGGGCTGCCCCAAAGAAGAGGCAGTCAATCTATTCTCCAAGGGCCCCAAAGGCCGGACAAGAAGCAACGGATGGAAACGAAACAAGGAGAGAAGCAACCTGGAAGTAAGGAGATCCTAACAGGGAGGACCATTGCCCAGTGGAACTGCTTGCCACCAGAATTTGTGGGCGTTCCACCCCTGGAGGTATTTAAGAAGAGACCGGACAAACCTTTGTCTGAAATGGTATAGAGTCAATTGCTTGAGCAGGGGGCTGGACTAGAAGACCTCTAAGGTCCCTTCCAGTTCCTATTCTGTTCTGTTCTATATTTTATTTTATATATTCTCCTTCTAAAGGAGCCTCTGTGGCGCAGTGGTGAGAGTACAGTACTGCCGGCTCCTTCTGCTGACTGCCAGCTGCCTGCGATTTGGCAGTTTGAATCCCACCAGGCTCAAGGTTGACTCGGCCTTCCCTCCTTCCGAGGTGGGTCAAACGAGGACCCAGATTGTTGGGGGGCAAGAGGCGGACTCTGTAAACTGCTTAGAGAGGACACTAAAGCATTGGGAAGCGGCATATAAGGCTAAGCGCTATTGCTATTTTACTCTATTCTGATTCTATTCAATTCGATTCCATTTTAACCTGTTCTGTTTTATTCTATTCTATATTCTACTCTACTCTGATTGTATTCTATTTTTATTTCTGTTTCTGTTCGTGTTTCTATTTCCATTTCCATTCCATTCCATATTTTCTATTCTATTCTATTCCATTCCATTCCATTCCATTCTTTATTCTATTCCATTCCATTCCATTCTTTATTCTATTCCATTCCATTCTCCTATTCTATTCTGTTCTGTTCTGTTCTGTTCTGTTCCGTTCCATTCCATTCCATTCCATTCGATTCTTTATTCTATTCCATTCTCTATTCTATTCTATCCTATCCTATCCTATCCTATCCTATCCTATCCTATTCCATTCCATTCCATTCCATTCTCTATTCTATTCTATTCTATTCTATTCTATTCTATTCTATTCTATTCTATTCCATTCCATTCCATTCCATTCTGAATTCTGTTCCATTCTTTCTCTCACTTTCTCTTTCTCTCATTTTCTTTCTCTCTCTCTCTTCCTTTCTCTGTCTTTCTCATTCTTTCTCTTTTACTCTTTCTCTTCCTCTCTCCCCCTCTTTCTCTTTCCCTCTCCCTCTTTGTCGCTCTCTCTCTGCCTTTTTCTCATTTTTCTCTCTCTTCCTCTCTTTTTCTCTCTTTCTCTTTCTCTCTTTGTCTTTTTTCTCTCATTTTCTTTCCTTTCTTTCTCTTCCTCTCTCCATCCCTTTCTCTCTCTCCCTCCCTCTGTGTCTTTCTCTCCTCCTCCTCTTCTTCTTCTTCTTCTTCTTCTTCTTCTTCTTCTTCTTCTTCTCTCTCCTTCTCTCTCCCTCTCTTTTCTTCTTTCTCTCTCTTTCTTCTCTCTCTTTCTTCTTCTCTCTCTCTCCCCTCTCTCTCTTCTTCTCTCTCCCTCTGTCCTCCTCCTCCTCCTCCTCTCTTCTCTCTTCTCTCTTCTCTCTCTCTCTTTGATTTAGATTCTGAACCCTTTTGTGACAAAGGACAAAAACAAAGACCTTCAACTTGATCAGTGAGACCTGCACAATTCTTTGAGTCGCAAAAATACTTAGTGCTCTTTTGCCCCAACTGAGCTTAGCGTGCTGCAGAAGTCGAATGCTGTTTCGTTTGCAACTGTCCCCTTTTAACATGTTCTGGGAATTCAGTCACGGGCCCCAAAAACGGAGGCGAGAAAACCAGGATTTCATTTTTGTTTTTAACAAACTTTTATTACTGGGTTGCCGTCAGAGAAGTTGTAGCTAGAATTGAAAGCAGGAGGAGGAACGGAGCTTTGAACTGAATGGTTCGTAGTTCTTCTGCAGAACAAATCCACTTCCAGAGGGCTTAAGCTGTGAATAATTTAGGCAGAGAAATGTGGGCTCCTTTTTAGTCAAGATAGTATCGTATCATATAGTAAATACAGGGTCATAAATGGTTGACTAGCCATGAAGATTTGTGGATTGAGGTTGAATGGTGGATTTACATATAAACAAACCTCCTCCTCTTTGAGCACTGATGATGTTCCCTAGTTGGGTCATGAAAGGTCTGCAAGAAAACTGCCCAGCTCAGAGAGCACCAAGGAACCCATAATCCTCCTCCTCCTCCTCCTCCCCCTCCTCCTTCTCCTCTTCCTCCTCCCCCTCCTCCTCCTCTTCCTCCTCCTCCCCTCCTCCTCCCCCTCCTTCTCTTCCTCCTCCTTCTCCTCCTTCCCCTCCTCCTCTTCCTCCTCCTCCCCCTCCTCCTCCTCCTCCTCCTCTTCCTCCCCCTCCTCCTCCCATCTTCTTCCTCTTCCTCCTCTCCACAAAACCCACTCTCTTCTAGCACTGATGATGTTACATAGTTGGGTCATGAAATATCTGTAAGAAAACAACTATTCTTTGAGAGCACAAGAACCTCACAGCCTCCTCCTCCTCCTCCTCCTTCCTCTTCCTGAATTTTCACCTTGTGACCAGGGAGATGCTGCAATGGTCATAATTGTGAAAAATGGTCATAACTCACTTTTTTCAGGGTCCTAGCAACTTTAAACAGTCACGAAAGTCAAGGATTACCTGTTGTAAGTCAAGGATTACCTGTAACATTTTGGACAAATGCTTGTCCAGTCCCTTCTTAAAAACTTCCAGTGTTGGAGCATCCACAATTTCTGGTGGCCAGCAGTTCCACTGGTTCATTGTCTTCGCTGTTTGGAAATGTCTCCTGAGTTCCAGGTTGCTTCTCTCCTTGATTAGTTTCCATCTATTGCTTCTTGTCCTGCCCTCAGGTGCTTTGGAGAATAGCTTGACTCCCTCTTCTTTGGGGCAGCCCCTCAAATATTGGAAGGCTGCTATCATGTCTCCCCTGGTCCTTCTTTTCATTAAACCTACCCAATTCCAGCAACTGTTCTTACTATATTTTAGCCTCCAGTCCAGTCCTCTGTTTCTCATTGTTAGGAAATTTCTAGGTTACTTCTCTGATTGGAAAACAGAACAGAACAGAGTTGGAAGGGACCTTAGAGGTCTTCTAGTCCAACCCCTGCTTGGGCAGGAGATTGTGCACCATTCTGAACAAATGACTGTCTAGTCCAGGGGTGTCCAACCTTGGCAACTTTAAGACTTGTGGACTTCAACTTGGACACCCCTGGTCTAGTCTCTTCTTAAAAAGTTCCAATGACGGAGCACTGTAACTTCTAGTGGCAAGCAGTTCCATTGTTTAATTGTCTGTAAATTTCTCCTTAATTCCAAGTTGCTTCTCTCTCTTTTTCTTTGTAAAAAGTTTTTTTTATTTTTTTCACATTTCAAAAACATCTCTTTTTTTAGTGAACAGCATGAGTCCAGGTTTTCACATTTCCATACAAACATGACTTTGGTTACATATTCATCGTTCACATTTAGTTTCATATCCTATCATTTCTTTGCATATTTTCTATTAATTTTCTCAAGTACTTTTCCCAAACTTATTTGATGTATTTTCTATTCATTTCGTAACCTCTTTCTTTTATCTTTACATAATTCTCATAACTTCACATTTATTGTGCTTTATACTTTTATCTGTCAGGTTTGCAATTTCATCGCACATTTTTACTTCATCATTTCAAAAAATTCTTCTCAATTCAAACGTTTCAAAAAAGTTTTCCCCACATTCACCAATTAGAGTGTACCACCCCTATACCTTATATATCATTTGGTTAACTCCTCTTTAATTCCCAATAATCATTTAACTTTTTAATTATCACCTTAGAGATTAATAACAATAATCTCTTAGCAATTACGTATCACATATACATTTTAAGTCAGACTCCACATCTGGCACTTTCCCTTTCAATTACATCAAATCATTTATAACTTCAAAATAAAAAGAAAAAGAAAATTGGTCTATTCAATTAATCATAAAAACTGATATTAATCTCATTACAGCAATCCTCATAATTCATTTCAACTATATTCTTGAAGTCATTGAACATAGTTAATAAACTTATCATGGTTTCTGTTTTTCACATTTATCCTTTACTAGTTTCCTTGCTTGCTTGCTTGCTTGCTTGCTTGCTTGCTTGCTTGCTTGCTTGCTTGCTTATTTATTTATTTATTTATTTATTTATTTATTTATTTATTTATTTATTTATTTATATTTTTCTCAATTGCTTACAAGATAATAGGTATAAGGATAAACACAGTTATGAATACAAGAAACGGATACATATGAGAAAAATAAAAGAAACAATGGGACAGGGACGATAGGCACATTGGTGCGCTTATGCACGCCCCCTACAGACCTCTTAGGAAAGGGGTGAGGTCAATAGGAGACAGTCCAAGGTTAAAGTTTTTGGGGTTTGGGGAAGAAACCACAGAGTCAGATAGAGTATTCCAGACATTGACCACCTCTGTTGCTGAAGTCGTATATTCTGCAATCGAGTTTGGTGCGGTTAACCTTGAGTTTGTATCTATTGTTTGATCTTGTATTGTTATGGTTGAAGCTGAAGTATTCATTGACAGGTAGGACATTGCAATGTATGATTTTATATACTATACTTAGATCGGACCGAAGGCGGCGTAATTCTAGATTTTCTAGGTCTAGAATTTCGAGTCTGGTGGTATAAGGTCTTCTGCAACGCGTAGAGGAGTGGAGAACTCTTCTTGTGAAATATTTCTGGACTTTCTCAACTGTGCTAATATCAGATACGTAATGTGGCTTCCAGACTGATGAGCTGTATTCGAGTATTGGTCTGGCAAATGTTTTGTATGCTCTAGTTAGTAGTGTAATATTACCAGAGAAAAAGCAACGTAAGGTTAGGTTAACAACTCTTAAGGCCTTTTTGGCTGTGTAGTTACAGTGGGATCTAGCACTTAGGTCATTTGAGATGAGAACTCCAAGGTCCTTGACGGAGTTTGGATCATCAACATGGTCTTGACTCTTCAACCTGTCCTGCTTCTTCTCCTTGCCTTCAGGTGCTTCGGAGAACAGGTGGACCCCCTCATTCCCCAGAGCATCCAAGCTAACCGTGGACCGCTTCTCTCCGGCAGAAGATGACGCTGAACCTCCCACGGAGAAGCCCCGGGGATCCCTGCCAGCGACGGGCCAGCACCCCGCTTCCAGCGTCTCACCGGGAGAGGCTGAACCCCGGGAGCAGGAGGACTGAGCTCTGCCACCCCCCGTTGGGACAGTCTTTATCCTGCGAGCCTGGAGGGCGCCTCCCGGAGCCCTGCAGGAGCTGGCGGTCAGAATCCTCCAGCTCGGGAGAATCTGGTGGATCCCTCTACCACGTGGTGCTGCTCGGCGATCCCGGGGTGGGGAAGAGCAGTCTGGTGTGCCTCTTTGCTGGGGTGCAAGAAAAGGACTCGCTGGAGCAGCAGAGAGGTAGGTGGGGGGAGGGGGCGGACGGAGGCGAGAGACCCAGAATTTGGCTAAACTTTTTGGCGGGGAGGAGGGTAGGCAGAAAATGAAGTGGGCCCAATCTCCCTTTTGGCTCCTACCTCCAGGGGTGGGATTCAATTTTTTTTAACCACCGGTTCTGTGGGTGTGGCTTAGTTGGTGGGCGTGGCTTGGTGGTCCTGTGACTGGGTGGACGTGGCTCGGGGGGGTCATGTGATTGGCTGGGCGTGGCCAACTCAACATCACTCCCATCGAGGCACGCATCTCCTCGCCTGGCCTCTCGTGACTGGGGGGGATGCTGCAACAGTCGTAAGTGTGAAAAACGGTCATAAGAAGTCACTTTTTTCACTGCCACTGTAACTTTGAAGGGTCACTCGACACAAGCAAAGTACCAGCAAAGGAGGGGAAAAAAAACTCCAGAGAAGTTCCTGAGACATAAAGTCTAGTCCTGCCAAGAATGTAAATAAGGGTTAACAAAGAGGCAGTTTCTATAAGCAACACCAGAATGTTTCCTTCCTGCCTTCCTTACAGGATTAGCCCTGTAATTTCTTCTAACAACCGGTTCTCCAAACTGCTTAGAAGGTTAACAACCGGTTCTAGCGAATAGGGGCGAACCGGTAGAATCCCACCCCTGCGCTACCTCGTGAGCCCCCGAACCCCGTGGTCATAGGAGGCCAAACCCATTATGAGGTGCAGTGAATCCTCGATTAGAGACAACTCCAATACTTAAGCAAGTGGAAGGGTTAGCCCAGTGGTGGCTAACCTTTTGGGGCTCCTGTGCCGAAAATTGCGTGTGCGCTTGCTCGTGTGCCAGCACCCAAAGGGCAATGCACCGGAGGGGGCACACCCCCTGCGCATGCCTGCGCGATTCCCCCCCCCCCGCCCCCTTACCTGCATTGCACATGTGAATGCCTCCCAGCTGATTTTTCAGGTGTTTTTCAGCCTCCCAGAGTCTCGAGGGAAGCCTCTGCAGCCTTTGGAGGCTGAAAAATGGGGCCTTTTGGTCACAGCTGGTATTTCCGGAAATATAGAAAGTGACTAAACGGGCCTTGTTTTTCGGCCTCCAAAGACTGCAGAGGCTTCCCTCGACCCTCTGGGAGGCCCCAAAAAAATGGTCCGAAAATCAGCTGGGAGGCGCAGACATGCGCAGTGAGGTAAGTTTGCCTGGGGTCCGTGTGCCGGCACCATTTGTGCAGGCACACGGACCCCAGGTAAACTTACCTCACTGCGCATGTCAAATGGGCAGTCAACTGGTTGTTAACCTTCTAAGCAGTTGGGAGAACCGGTTGTTAGAAGAAATTACTGGGCTAATCCTGTAAGGAAGGCAGGAAGGAAACATTCTGGTGTCGCTTACAGAAACTGCCTCTCCGTTAACCCTTATTACCTTCTTGGCAGGAGCCATTTGCTCTGTGTGCCAACTGTGAGACAAAAGGCAAACAAACTCAGAGAGCATCAATGACCTCCCCCCCAGTCATTCTCCTCCTCCTCCTCTCCTCTTCCTCCCCGTTTCTACAACACCTCCCCTTCCTTCTAGCACTGACGATGTTCCTTAGTTGGGTCCCAAAATGTCTGCAAGAAAATCACCAAGCTCAGAGAGCACCAAATTGTCCTGACTTGCTGGAACTTGACGCACTAAGGTTGGTGACTTTCAGCACCTCTGCTGTCTGATTTCAACCACTTGCCCACCCCCTCACCCCCCACCCCCCATGTCTGCAATGGCTGCTCCCCCGACAGGCTCCGTCCATTTTTCCGGACTGCAGGACAGTTGCAATGCTCTTCGTCTCGTCTCTTTGTTGCTAAACCTGAAGCGATGAATCGCCACTGGAGCTGGTTCTGCTTCCGCTTTCTTCCAGACGACACCTTTGAGCGCACCTTGTCCGTGGATGGAGAAGAGACCACGCTGGTGGTGATCGACACCTGGGAAGCCGGAAAGCGGGTAGGTGTGAATGTTCTGAGCCAGAAACCCAGAGATTTTCTCAAACAGGTAAGGGAGCTGGCATCTTTTTCGGTCTGGACGAAATTTGCCAAGAGCTCTTGCTGAACTGGTGGAAAAAAAAATCATTTCTTTGTTTGCATCCAGCTGTTGATATTTTTGCAAAGCGCTCAAGGCAGTGAATATATTTCCGCTCAGAATAACTTTCATTGTCGCTTTAAATGTACGCGAATCGGCCTACATTGCAATTAAATGTCATTGCATACGGCTCACCATCTCCAATATATCCAAGTCAACTTTCTCCTCTTATTCCCCACATTCTCCAACAACGACAACCCTTTGAGGTGGGCTGGGCTGAGAAAGACTGTTCCACCTGTCTTAAAGTTGTCGCGATTGAGAAACAATAATGTAGACATTGTCAAACTTTAGAGAAGGATGTTGTTTTGGTCTGTTGGTTAAGGAACCAGGCTAGAAAGCTGGGGACCCTGAGTTCTAGTTCTGCCTTAGCCATGAAAGCCGGCTAGGTGACTTTGAGCCACGGGGTCGTCAAACTTGGCAAGTTTAAGACTTTGTGGACTTCAACTCCCAGAATTCCTGAGCTAACATGGACTGGAGGAGGAATTCTGGGAGTTGAAGTCCACAAGTCTTAAAGCTGTCAAGTCTGCTCTGAACCAATCACTAGGAGACGGTGAGTTCTAGTCCTGCCTTACGCATGAAAGACAGCTGGGTGACTTTGGGCCAATCACTAGGAGACGGTGAGTTCTAGTCCCGCCTTAGGCATGAAAGCCAGCTGGGTGACTTTGGGCCAATCACCAGGAGTTGGTGAGTTCTAGTCCCGCCTTAGGCATGAAAGCCAGCTGGATGAGTTTGAGCCAATCACCAGGGGACGGTGAGTTCTAGTCCCATCTTAAGCATAAAAGCTGATTGGGTGACTTTGAGCCAATCACTAGGAGGCAATGAATTCTAGTCCCGCCTTAGGCATGAAAGCTAACTGGGTGACTCTGGGCCAATCACCAGGAGACGGTGAGTTCTAGTTCTACTTTAGGCGTGAAAGCTGGCTGAATTACTTTGGACCAGTCCATGTCTCTCACCCCTTCTCACCTCACCAGGTTCTTGTGTGGAAAACAGGAGGAGGAGGAGGAGGAGGAGGAGGAGGAGGAGGAGGAGGAGGAAGGCACGTTGGACATGTTCACGTCCTTGAGTTATTTCTAAAAGAATAATCATAAAGACAGGATACAAATAAATGAACTCGATTCCATTAATTCTTAGAGCTTCAATTCAGAGCAGTGGCTGCTGCCTTCCTAGGAAATCACCTGTACTCAGGTAATGAAGCGATGGGTATCTTTGGGTCCTGTCCTCACCTGCCTGCTTGCCCAAACTCATCCCCTCTGGGATGGGATGCTCCAACCATAGGTACTCCTTGACTTACAGCCACAATTGAGCCAAAAATTTCCATGCCTAAACGAGACAGTTGTTGAGTGGCCCATTTTACAATCTTTCTTGCCGCCGTTGTTCAATGAATCCCTTCCCTTGTTAAATTAGTCACACGGTCGTTAAATGAATCCGGCTTCCCCAGGGGGAGTTTGCGTCTTGGCAGGTCGCAAAAGGGGATCGCCTGGGACCAAGGAACAGTCATAAATAGGAGTCCGTTGCCAAGCGTCTCCATTTTGATCACGTGACTGTGGGGAGGCTGCAGCGGACGCAAGTGCGAAAACAGATGCAAGTCCCTTTTTTCAGGGCCGTTGTAACTCCAAACGGTCACTGAACCAAAAAGTTGGTGAGTTGCGGGCTACCTGCACTTTATGCTAGCAAGAAAAGGATCGTCCTCAACTCCTTTTAATGACCCCATAATCCCTTACCAGGGCAACTAAATGGAGCTGAGTCTTTACTGTCTGGATGCCCTTCCTGTCACCAGTGCGGAGTTTTGTTCAGCAGATATCATGCCCAGAGAGAAAAAAACTGTTGTGGCCCGCCAACGGCTAGTGAAGCTGGCGGCAGACTCGGACAGTGAGGAGGTTGGGGAGGAACCTGGGCCAGTCCTGGAGGCTGAGGAAGGCTCGGACGAGGGCTCTGCGTCGGAGGCAGAGATGGGGCCAGGGTTATCCGACAGTTATCAGCTGCTTTCGAAGTTGGAGATCAGTGAGGAAGAAGAATAGCTGGAGCCTGTTCCCAGTGTGCGCATGCACAGAGCTGCCAGATGAAGGGAACAGCTAAGGAACAAGGGCTGACTCCGGAGTAAAGGCACAAGTGGACAATGAATGGCCCCTCCCATAGGGATTAAAAGAGGAGCAAAAGGGGAGAGGGCTTTTTTTCAATAAAAAATTTCTATTGTGCTTTCCACCAATACAAATCATATTCGCAGTTTCAGCAGCGTTTTGACATCTTATAAATCCTTATATATATTTATATACACCAATCAATAACTGCTATCTCTATAATTAATTCTGTTATATACTTATTTAATTTACATATCTACACATCATTTTCTTAAGGTCTCTTATCGTTAATCTCCTCTTGTTATTTCTTATATCTATTCTCTAACCATTCGTATCATCTATGCCAAGTTGAGTAGTATTCAGAATCCTCCTTCTCTTTCATTTCGAATGTAAGCATGTCCATTTCTGCACGTTAAATTATTTTGTGTAGGACTAAGTCCTCTGTGGGGAGGGTGTTGGGTCCTTTCCACATTTGTGCAAAAGCTATCCTGGCTGCTGTTGGAATATGTAAGATGATATATTTTATTTCTTTTGGATATTGATCTTTAATTATTTCTAATAAGGAAGAGTTCTGGAAAGGAAACAGTTAAGGAACAAGGGTCAATGTGGGAGTAAGGCCACAGGTGGATAGTGAATGAGGATTAAAATAGCAAAACGGGAGGGGGCTCTTGCAGGAAACAATTCGTTCGTTGCAGCACGGTGAAGATCTGTCTGTGCATCTCAGAGACTGTGCTGAGTCCTTCCTTGTCAGCACTGCATTTGGAAATATTTACTTGGTAGCTCTCCAGGCTAGATAAGGTCTGTGCTCCTAATTACACCCTTTGAAAGACTGTTTGCCCGGCCTTTGGTTGCGTGTGAATGCAAGAAATTCACCTTCGTTTAATAAAAGGGGCTTTGCTGGGAGAAAGAGTCTGCTTAGGGCTTTCGGGGGAACCCTAGATCAGAAATCTGCCTCTACCTAGCATCGAACTCACAGCCTCCTGATTGTGAGGCAAGAACGCCACCTCTAGGCCACCGCTAGCAAAGGGGCCAAGATGGATTCCTCTCACTTTGGGCTCCAAACGCTAGGGCGCGGGATCAGGGTGGGGTGTGGGGCAAAGGAAGCCCCTGTCCCCTCTTGAGAGCACCCTTCCCCTCTTCCTGCAGTCGTCGGAAGAAGACCACTGGCTGCACAACCACTGCATGCAGGTGGGCGATGCCTACGTGATCGTCTACTCCATCACCGACCGGGGCAGCTTCGAGAGCGCCTCGGAGCTCCGCATCCAGCTTCGGAGGACCCGGCAGGCAGAGAACCTGCCCATCATCCTGGTGGGGAACAAGACGGACCTGGTGCGCTCCCGAGAGGTCTCGGTGGAAGGTGGGTCCAGAAAGGGCTTAAGCCCAAGTCAATCTTTTTTTTTT